TGAACAGTAATTTACAATAACACGGGAATAATAAACGGAGCACTCTCCCTCTCCTGACAGCCCGTCAGTATCATGCAGCTCGCGGATCCAGTAATGAGTGACCCGACAGTAAAACTAAACATATATATAACTAGTTACGGTAGTTTGAGAGGTAATTAAAATAGCTTACGTGTGATATTCTTAACCTGGTGTGTGTTTTGTTCCGCTCATCGCTGCAGGTGATCATGCAGAGCTGCGTGTCGACTTGTCAGCAGCAGCTGATCTCTCTCTCCCGTCAGATTAGACTCGCGTTTATGTCCATATCGATCAGATCCAGCTAGTTCTAGCTAATGATATGACTACCTGCTTATTAAAAGACACCTAAACAATAAGCGTCGCTATGCAACCGGCTGAGGCCGCAAAGTATAGCGCAGAGCATTATGCATTTGTTTACATGCCCACCGGAACCCCAAGGCATACCAACAGATCAACGCACAATCAACCACACAGGACATCTCTTTCTCCACAGTAAGCGTAGGACACAAAACATTACGAATTGGACTATTCTTGTCTGTCACATACTCTTTTGTCTGTCACACTAAATGGCGCAAGTTGTGCAACTGATGTGGTATTGTGCCTAAACGGAAATTATTTTGAACGGACACTTTGACCGGAGAGATTTAGATTTGGTCTTCAGCATATTTTTACCGGTCGTAGCTCCGGTAATTACCGTAAAACTCTGGTCTCAGACCCGTCTGAAGTTTGCTAGATAGCATTTAGATGATCCAGAAGAGGATTGGGAGAATGTCATATGGTCAGATGAAACCCAAAATAGAAACTTTTTGGTAAAAAACTCAAACTAGACGTGTTTGGAGGAGAAGGAATGCTGAGTTGCATCCAAAGAACACCATACCTACTGTGAAACATGGGGGTGGAAACATCATGCTTTGGGGCTGTTTTTCTGCAAAGGGACCAGGACGACTGATCCGTGTAAAGGAAAGAATGAATGGGGCCATGTATCGTGAGATTTTGAGTGACAACCTCCTTCCATCAGCAAGGGCATTGAAGATGAAACGTGGCTGGGTCTTTCAGCATGACAATGATCCCAAACACACCGCCCGGGCAACGAAGGAGTGGCTTCGTAAGAAGCATTTCAAGGTCCTGGAGTGGCCTAGCCAGTCTCCAGATCTCAACCCCATAGAAAATCTTTGGAGGGAGTTGAAAGTCCTGTGTTGTCCAGCGACAGCCCCCAAAACATCACTTGCTCTAGAGGAGATCTGCATGGAGAGGAATGGGCCAAAATACCAGCAACAGTGTGTGAAAACCTTGTGAAGACTTACAGAAAACGTTTGATCTCCGTCATTGCCAACAAAGGGTATATAACAAAGTATTGAGATGAACTTTTGTTATTGACCAAATACTTATTTCCACCATAATTTGCAAATAAATTCTTTAAAATCAGACAATGTGATTTTTTCTTCTCATTTTGACTCTCATAGTTGAGTTATACCTACGATGAAAATTACAGGCCTCTCTCATCTTTTTAAGTGGGAGAACTTGCACAATTGGTGGCTGACTAAATACTTTTTTGCCCCACTGCTATGGTGTCTTGAATATCCACACTGGTAGTGTTGGTGAATGCCTGCTGTGTCACAGCCTCCTCATGGCAGCCTCTCATTTACACTCTGAGCTCTCGCCAACTATTCTGTTTTCTATGTAGTTTTGACAATATAAATAGTACGGAATAAGTGGAAAAAGCAGTCCACATTTTATTTTAAAAATCAATATCTCTATAAAGCATTTATTTTGTTGCACTCAAATTGTATACAAAAAACATGAGAAAGTACGGTTGATGAACAATTAAAAAAAAGACAACTTGCACTGCCACAGGGAATTGCACTGCCATTGCCACACCAGGCTAAACGCTGTGTAAATTGGGTTGGATGTCCTGTTTAGGGAATCCTCTAATGCAGTGGTCGCCAACCAGTCGATCGCGATCGACCGGTCGATCGCGAGTGTGGTGCGGGTAGATCGCGGACCGTTAAAAAAAAAGTAACAAAAGAAATAAAAATAAAAATAATAATGTTTGAAAAATACGTTTTTAGATGTAAACCTATCACCCACCACCCCGTTAGCAGGTGCCACTTGATTGACGTATATTTGAGACACCTCAATAATATAATACATTAACCGTGCTTTACGTGAACCTCATCATGACACAAGAGAGGGCTACAATTTCCCGTGTTCAGTGAATGCAACAGAGGCAAGTCACCAGACCAATCAGAGAGTTGCATGGAAATACCTATGGGAAATACACATGTGCTTGTGTCATTCAAGCTTGGCTCTGTGTGTGTGGCAATAGCGCATTTAGTGTGATAGAGAGAGGGAGAGGGAGGGAGAGAGAGGGACCGGTGCTAACGGGGACCGTGATGTTAGCATCTGGTTAGCTAGCGGCACTAAAGGACATAAGGAGCTGTTTCCACAACAGGCTGGAGGAGAGTCCTCCCCTGTCAGACTGAGGGGCTCAGGTGAGCTAAAGGACTGATTGGTTAGCTAGCTGGCTCTGTTGTGATTGATAAACTGCTTAGAGGTGTGTCGGAAATGTCACATACCATGTGTTGGTGCACTAGCCAATAGAAGCGTTACATAGTGAGTTCACTATGTTACACAAGTAAACAAAGCAGTCTAATTGAAACATTTCAGGCAGGGGGGCAGAGTGTGGGAAATAAACTTTGAGATTTTAGCCTTCGCTGACCATTTACCCACTCTTTTTCAGCTCAGGAGCTACTTTTAAAATGACCACGCCCAAATGATCTACCTACAGGGCCACCCCTGCACCATCTGTGTGCTAGTGGACTAAACGGTGGATAAACTGTGGCGCGCCTACACTAATTGCGCTGCATAAGCGCATAATAGTGCGCCGCATTTGCGCTTCAGATGAGGAGGTGAGGCCCCCTCATAACTGCATGAACCCGTATGGCACAATACAACTCAGACTGGCTTACCTGTACGTCAATCAAGTGGCACCTGCCATAGGATGGATGATAGGGTAACTTTTTTCTCTTTTTTTTTTAAATGCCATGCGATCTACCCACACTACCCTTGCGATCGACCGATCGACGTATTGGGCACCCCTGCTTTTCATATAAAACCTATATAACCCACTGAATGTATGTTAGTATTTACAAGCCGTTTCAATGCATGTGCCGAATAAAAAAGAATGGGGGCTAGACTAGAAGTCAAAAGCTCTCTGCAGGTCACAGTGATACCATGTGATAAAGAGTGCTGAGAGCTGATGGGGATGGCAAAAAACAACGCCAAGTCACTTCCACTCTAGATATGAGCCCGTTGACAACAAAGGTAGGAAGCAATACAGCTGGAACAGCACACACACTCTCTGTGCTTCCACCTGTCAGTGGAGGTGCAATGTGATCCAGGACAAAGACCACCCTGGTGATAGCCACATGAAGCCCTGTCTTCCTTCTCTGCCTCCAGAGCTGCAGCAGAATGACAGCTGCTTTCTGATGTGCATCAGAGCTGAAGTCTCAGACTCCGACTCACCGCCCTCTGGCTGCCAGTTGGATAGACATGCACACAAGATCAGTACTGAGTTTAAAAAGAGGAAACACATTGTGGCTCACTTCTTCAATGGTGCATCATTTAAAACTAAGAAATGGAACAAGATATCCAAGGTATACCTTTGCCTTTATATCAGCTGTAACTGGTGCTATTGGTAATCTGTCTATCTTTGAAAACATTGTTTTAGAGGTTATAGAACCACATCTCTAAGCTTGAAAGTAGTCCATGTGAATTTGTAGTTCAATATAACAAAATAGTGTTGGAATGACTCTTCACTGAGAACTGACCAGACATTACTTGCCTGTAAATATTGATATTTTGATCTATTTAGGGATTTACGGGCATTTGACCCCATTTGCTTTCCTGCCACAGAGGAATGTGGAGGGAGTACAAAGCAGGTATGTTGTGTTCGGGGTGCAGGAATGTGCTACATTCACAGTCAAGCATGTACAACCATAAAGCCTACAGCAAGTGTTCTGAACAGACACAGGGCAGCGGGACAGTAGAGGAGCAGGTTGTGTACGTTTGGTTTATGTTGAGGATTATAATAACTACTCAACAATATTAAATTATTACATTTCTACACAATCTACACAGAACCCTCTCAAATAATAATCCAGGATATCGAGTGTGTGCTTTGTCTACTGTGAGCTGGGATGCCCCCTAAATATCAATGGTTCTAATCAGTCGAGAAGAAAAGTTTTAAAACACGAGTCTGGACTGAAAGCAATTTGTATAGGCATACTCCCAATACTTATCCCATACAATATCACCCACCACTGGATTTGTAATGAAGGCCCAAAAACGTGACGCTGTGTGTGTGTGTGTGTGTGTGTGTGTGTGTGTGTGTGTGTGTGTGTGTGTGTGTGTGTGTGTGTGTGTGGTGTGTGTGTGTGTGTGTGTGTGTGAGAGGTGTAAGAGTGTGTGCTGTCTTTTCTGTTGCTTTGGCTCGGACCACACCTATCTTCAAGCTCAGCCTTCCTTTTGATCTCAACTTCTCACCTGTTGACTTTTCGACTCCAAGTCGGGCAAGGGGCGAAAACTGGGGACGTAATGTGGGGGGCCCAATGACCCCTATGCACCGTATTTTTAAACAACATTTTTATTTCCATTTTAACTACACACCTGTGAAGTTTTGTGAGTTTGGCTTCCATAGTGTGTTCTAAATGTGTTCTAAATAAAGCTTAAGCACACAGTTTGTGGGGCTTTACATTTCTGACTGTTTCATATTAGAATTTCTTCTGGGTGATGGTATATCTCTGCCAACGAGTCAAGTTGACATCAATGTTTGTCAAAAATGTCATCACTTCATTATCTCTGAAGGCATGAAAAGCTTTGAGATTTGTGAATAAATGGTGTGAAAACACTGCACTGTACACCACCAGCTGCCTATAGCTACATTCGCTGCAGCACACCCGTGAATTATTTTTTAGCTGCCTTACCAGCTTCTGGCTGAAGATCATGTGTCGCAGCCACTTGAAGTCCAGAGCTTTAAAGGCAGAGAGGACGAACAGGGACTCAGGCTCGTAGCGCTCTGCCTTCTGGATGGCCCCCTCTGGGTAGGTGATCCTCATGGTGGTCTTGGAGCCCACATCTTTCTCAAAGCCTTTCACTGGAGCCTCGTTTAACCTGCAACACACAGCTGCAAAATCAATCATAAAATGACCTGTCCAAAATAATCAAAGCTGGTTAACATGTAGTTTAATCTGCAATTGTACAACATTTGATTAAACAATGACTACTTGATTACAGGGAGAGTAATCGAGTTGCATCGAGTCAAGTACCTCCTTCTGTCTCACAACGTACCTGACCACCACATCGAACTCATCGATCCTCTGTCCCAGAGACTTGTTGGCGAGGATTCCTCCATTCCCTACGATGATGCAAGTCTACAGTCCAAACTGATCACACAGAAAAGATCCACAATTTTTTCTACTTTACTCTAATAATTGAACGTATACATTTTTCGTTGAATGTCTGAAATGTACTTTTGCTTATACATTCATAAAAAACTAAAAATGTTACATGCCTAGTGTTTTCTCCTCCCTGACTATAACCGTGAACAGTGAGGCTACAACTTCAATGAAATATGTATTCCCTCCCTTGTGCCCTTCTTCAACACACTCAGCTACATAGGAGATGTGGCAGTAGTTTTTCTGTTAATCAAAATCAGTTGTTACCAAAACAGAAAGGCCACCGTGGTAAAAATAAATAAATGTATATATATTCATTCATTCAGCTACTTAGGACTTTATGTTCTTTATGATATATCGTCTTTTCCACAAGTAAAACAACTGTTGCATTATTAGCACAAGTTAACAATGTGGTCAGTGTCACAATGTGGTGAAAATAATGATTACATCCTTGTATTGTAGACTCAGTGCAAAATGTGTCCAGTGTTTAGTCTGCTCCGCTTGATTCGGAGTGGAATAATAAACAAATTCCTTAATGTGTGAGCTGGCTGATGGAAACAGGGTCAGTGCACAGTGTCTGTGAAACTGATGAGTTCCATATGAAGACAAAGTGAAATGAAGTAGCTGATGTGTGATCCAGTCATTAATGTTGGACTTTCAGGGTACACTGACAGAATAATTATAAGCACTTGTTTAGAATTTAAAACACATGGCGCTGTCTTTTTTCAAGCTAATCCTAGAGGCATTTTTGATTTCCAAGTAAGGCACCTTAATTCCAGGGTCACACGAAGAACTAGATTTGAAGCTTTTTGAACATACAATGGATTAGAAACAAAATCAATGACCTCTTGCCTTTGACCAGTATAGTGTTATCAACAGCTCCCGGAAATGTAAGCTCTAATATTACACTAGATAGTAAACTAGAATGCTTTTCAGCCATAAACCTTGAACAATTGAATTCAATGATTCTCTCTTCTAAACCATCAACGTGTATCATAGACCCAATTCCAACTAAGCTGTTGAAGGAAATGTTTCCATTAATTAGCACTTCTTTATTAAATATTATGAATATGTCTTTATTATCAGGCTATGTTCCACAATCATTTAAAGTTGCAGTAATAAAACCTCTTCTTAAAAAGCACAACCTCGATCCAGAGGTTTTAGCCAATTATAGACCTATTTCTAATCTTCCGTTCCTCTCAAAAATTCTTGAGAAATCGGTCGCAAAACAGTTGTGTGATTACTTAAAAAACAATGATTTATTTGAAGATTTTCAGTCTGGCTTTAGAACACATCATAGCACAGAGACAGCTCTGGTTAAAGTCACAAATGACCTAATAGCCTCTGACAAGGGACTTGTCTCTATTCTTGTTTTGCTCGATCTCAGTGCTGCATTTGATACTATCGACCATGATATCCTATTGCAAAGACTAGAGCACTTATGGCGCATTTCCACTGCAGCGGGTAGCCCCGTTTAAGCGTCCTTAACCGTCCTCAAGCGGCCAGGCCAGTTTTTGGTGGCCTTTCCATATAGCCTAGTACCGGCTAGCGGGTACTTTTTCCCTCTTTTTCCGGCCCCATAAAATCGTGGTTCTATCAGACCAGGGCCAGGGCTGAACTAGTGACGTCAACACTCTCGACTGCTGATTGGTCAGAGAGAATCGTCACAAGATCGCGCGTGAGTTCATCCCTAGCGTCGCATATATATTAGAAGCAAGCTTGCAGCATTTTTATAAACAGCATTTTGTAAACGGATGAGCTACAAAAATGGCTACGTCTAATAAGAAAAGCACACCGTGGTCGACCGAGGAGGTGACGACGTTCCTACATCTCATTGGGGATGATCAAATCCAGCGGGAGCTCGACGGAACAACTCGAAATGTGAACAAAAACAAAGCCGATCGCCCCGCCTACACTGCGTTGCTACCCCAGGTCCTAAACTGTAATGGAAATGCGCCACGGCCTGGGCCGGCCAGCGAGGCAGCCCGAGGCCTGAGCGAGGACGCTTAGGGACGCTTAAACGGGGCTACCCCGTTGCAGTGGAAATGCGCCATTAGTTGGCATACAGGGAACTGCTTTAGGCTGGTTTAGGTCCTATCTATCTGAACGCTCTCAGTTTGTACGTGTCAACGATGAATCTTCCATGCAAACCAAAGTTAGCCATGAAGTGCCACAGGGCTCAGTGCTTGGACATATTTTGTTCACATTGTATATGCTTCTGCTAGGCAATATTATAAGAAATTATTCTGTAAATGTCCACTGTTATGCGGATGATACTCAACTATATTTATCCATCAAGCCTGATGAAACCAATCACCTAAATAAAATTCAAGACTGCCTCAAGGACTTAAAAACGTGGATGACCTTAAACTTTTTGATGTTAAACACGACCAAAACAGTGGGGACCTCTCTCCCTGCGTGTGCCTCTCCACCTCTGTTTCCTACTTCTTACTTGCTACCCTATTCCCTCAACCTATCCTAAGGGAGTGCATGTATGTAGACACGTTAGTTTAGCTGCTATAGGCTTGGACTGTTGGGAGGGGCACCTTACTCCGTCTTTCTGGCTGTTTGTACCTGTGTACTCTCATGTTCCGATTAACCCAGCTTCCTCCAAATCTCTTTTTTGTGTCCATATATACGCCGGGATCCTGAGTCGAGGCTAATCCTGTTGCTGTGGTCGTGTGTCCTGGATCCTCTATCCTGAGTACTGGATCTGAGTCCTGGACTTCGAGTCATGGCTGAACCTGTCTCTGCGGTCCTGCCAGACTCTCACCATACTACTTCCCTGATGGCTCCCACAAGATTGCTGACATCCTCGTGGATTCATCTTCGTATTACAGACACATGCATTTCCAAACATTTGGTCTACCTATGTTGTAAATGTATTATCTTTTCGATTTACACACGGCATCTATTGCACGTATGTCCGTCCTGGGAGAGGGATCCCTCCTCTGTGGCTCTCCCTGAAGTTTCTCCCCTTTAAACTGTGGGGTTTTCTCTGGAAGTTTTTCCTTGTACGATGTGAGGGTCTAAGGACAGAGGGTGTCGTATTGTCATACTGATATTCTGTACAAACTGTGAAGTCCACTGAGACAAATGTAACATTTGTGATATTGGGCTATATAAATAAACATTGAAAAATAAAAAAATAAAAATAAATAAACATTGATTGATTACATTTGTTCTTAAGTAGGGGAACTTCTTAAGAACAATATGGGCTTAAGCAACAGTAAGACTTTTTTATTGGTAAACTGATTACATTTAGATTCAAATGTTTGTTCTGGTTACTCATAAACATAGGGCATAAGAGATTTAAGACAGAATTTGTTATTTTGTGTTGAAAAATTTAATTTTTGTCTTTTTACCCATTCATAAGTTCAGATGTACGGAAGAGGATTAGGGCTACAAGTGAATGTTTTTTCAAATATGACCTAAAGTGTTTTTGTTTTTTTTGTTTCGAGATTAGAGACCTTAAAGGTAGGGTAGGTAATTCACTTCAGAATTTATTTTTGTTATATTCCATGGAATGCTCTTAACATCCCGATAGCAATGAATACATTAAATGCTTTGACAATACATAAAAAATGTCATCTGTGGAAGCCGTGGCGCTGTAAAAAGCACGACCAATGATCTGAGCCGGCCCGGCTAAAATAACTGGATAGCCTACCTGCCTGTCAGCCTTCCATCTCGTGCACAAACTTATCTCGTGCCCTCATTGGTCATGTGCGCGTTCGTCAGGGGCGGACTGGGACTACAAATCTGCCCGGGACTCTCGACCGGCCCACTTCGGTACCGCCGGCCCACCGCAAGTAAATACCGCTAGTAAATTGTCGACGGGGGTGCTAGTGACTTACCGCAGAGGTAGACATTAAGGGTAAAATGCCACTGGCCCTCTCCGTAGATTGTATTGTCACTGGCCCCACCATTGTAACCACTGGCCCGGAGCATTCGTACAAAAGAAAATCGACTAATAATGAAGAAAATTAACACATTTGTTGCAATAGTAATTTATGCCCTAACTACATTACTACTTGTACTACAACATTTGAATCATCAGTTCTCCCTCATTTTCCTCAATTGTTCATATTTGGTTTATTAAAATAATGATATTGTGGTCATTGTTAAAAAATGTCTGCTATTATTATTATGAGTATTATTATTTGTATAATGCACTTTCTGCCTTCCTGTCATTAGGAGTTAGACATGTAATGCCTATGTAATTGATTTGATTAGAACCTTCATTATCCTAAACTGCTGGGACATTTCGCCAATACCTTTATATTGTCTACTCTTCACTTACTTGTCAGCATAGGTCGGCATTGATGTACAGAGCCGACAGAAGACCTTGTTTATATTGGCATCATATTGAGAGGTGCAGCCAGTGACGCCTCCTAAAACCAGGAAGTAAGCTGCTGGTTCCCTCGACAAAAAGCAATGGGATTTCTCCACAGGGTTTTGGAAAATAGCTAGAAAACGAAACAATTTAACTAAATTGCTAGTGAAAATACCAATACCACAGGACCATTTTTTTAAAGCAATATTTTTAGTGGCCGAGCGGGTAAGTGGAAAGTACGTTATGCTGGCCCGGGGTGTCTAAATAGTGCTTCCGGGCCAGCGGGCCATTTAATGTCGAGCCCTGCCGGCCCACATAGTCCGACCGGCCCACTTCAGTACCGGCCCATCGGGATTCGTCCCGATGGCCAGTCCGCCCCTGGCGTTCGTGTGTGTTGGAGGAGGGGCTCTGTAAGGAAGTCTGAAGGAAGGGGCAGATTTTTTTCGGCTGCGTACTTTCAAATTCTAGCGCACTCGAGCTGGTTTCTCCATTCTTACCCACCCTACCTTTAATCTTCTCTTCTTTACAGATTGGAAATACTATATTGTTGATTAGTTTCACATGAGTATCTGTATAACATCTGTATTTTTTGCTATACATTTTTTGCATTTATAATATCTGTCTTAAAAGATTACTAACTGTTTAGTTTTCTTACCTAAGATCTATTGTGACCTAAAGTCAGGTGATGATGGAATAAACAGTATATAAAGGAACTGGAAATCCCATTGCACACTTTCCTGACTTGCACACTCTGACTACTTTTAAATCCAGGCTGAAGACTTTTCTTTTTGTCGCTGCTTTTAATTTAACTATTCATATCTTAGACTGCACTGAAACTTTTATCCATGTATTTTTTCTTTTAATGTTTATTTTATTAGCTTTTCTTTTTAATGACTGATTTTAAATGTCTTTTCTTAATGTCTTTCATTTTTTTGTAAAGCACTTTGAATTGCCTTGTGTTGAAAGTGCTATATAAATAAACTTACCTTGCCTTGCCTTCCTAATGAAAACAAGACAACCAAATGCCCTTGGTAAATAACCGTGGTGAACTGGAGAATAGAATTTGAATAGACTGGCCAATACAATTTGACACTGATTCGGCTGCTTAAGGCGAGACACCCCAGGTGAATAGGGTAATTTTTTTAACTTAAGGTATCTGCTAGAAATTTCTCCAGTTAATTACTTACAATAAGGCAATTGTTTTTGGGTATTACAAGTTTTCTGAAATAGCAGTTTTAAATATGCAAATGACCCATTATCTCATTAAATATGCACATATTTTAACACATTTCAGGAATCGAAATCTGAACTTTGGATAAAGCCCAGGTTCAAAATTCTTGTTTTCATTTTGTAGTCATAGTAGTATCTAAGGCTTTTACAGAAGGGATATTGGATATCTATTTTTATCACTCCATAAATCAGAAAATACTGTCAACAGCCCTAAAATATAAATTTTTGCGCCATGGTTTTTAGGTATACAATGTTGTATAATTCAGGCTATGAATGATATATGAACAAACCCTTCTGTAAAAGCCTTCATAATATGATAGGAATATTAACTGGAATGTTTTGGTATGTACGTGCTACTGAAGTTGAAATTTCGAACTCAGAGTAGGAGAAAAAACTCATTTTGAGAAAACGACCTTTAAAGATTGCAGTGAGGCGCTAGCTAAACCCTCCTGTTCTTTGGATGATAGCTTGCGCATCGACGCACTCCGTGAAGGTATTTCATGTTCGGGTCATTTGTTTTTTGTATAACCTTGCTTCGTGCAAGTGACAATTGTTGTCGTCTCTCTCTCTGTGAACGTTTTTTTCGCCGTTCTTTTTGCCATTTTGAGATTTCAATTTCTAGCGGAAAGCTAACCAGGAAGTGTTTTAGCACACCACGTGACGCATCTGAACGAATCACGTTGTCAGAAATTGACACCAGCCAATGAGATTTCGTTTTCTTGGTTTAAGACCCCTTTGTGCTTTCACGATTGGTTGCCTAATACAAAGGAAATGACCATATTTGGATCTGATGAGATTGTGCAGGAGACACAGCTTTCAACGATATCTCTGTGACATGGTGCACACAGCGGTCCGCGGTACTTTATGTTACGTTAGAATGCTAACTTTTGGTGAATTTAGGAGAAATCTACAGACGCAAATAGACACAACTATAGTAAAATAAACACTTCAAATGTGTATTTTGTACGTTTTCCTTTCCAAAAGCCTGAAGAAAACATGTTATAGAATCAAAATAGCACAAAATCTCAAAATTGACCAGTACTTGAAAAACGATGTTTTTGCCCTGCCGTGTCTCGCCTTAATATGTGTGCATTTTAAAAGTAAACTGTTAACAGTTTACAAATTATACTGATGGTAGCTTCAAATACGTCAGTTGTAAAAAACGATATTGTGATGACTGCTCTGTTTTGATTGGCGAATGACTGAACATCTAGAACCCACTTACCTGTCAAGATCCTCCCCAAGGCCGTAGTTCTGAGTGGCTGACAGAAGAATATCTATGAGATTTTCTGCAGGTATGTGAGAGACATGAAGGCAGAAGAGAAAACAAGTGAGATGAGGTTGAAAGTGAACAGAAACTTCCCCCCAGCTATGATGCCCCCATCTCTGTGATGGAGAGATATGGCTGGCAGCCAGCCACTTCTTCATCTTTGAATGTTATACAACCATTAAAGCGCATTCTCATTTGTGACCTGCTCTATCGAAATCAGTCGCATTGACCCGAAGACACATTTTGAGTTGTATACACTGCTGGAAAGAGGAGATTCATAGCTTTCTAATGATATCAGGATTGTTGTTGTACTCCAAATATTAAGCAAAATATGTCACATTATATAATGACTGTCACCGAGTCATCATTTTGGAGAAAAAGGGCCTTCAAAGTTTTCTCTTCTCTGGAATCCATCGATCTGATTGATTATTAGCAATTGATCAAAATACTACAGAGGGAAGATATTTTCGTTTGGATTACTGGTCTGGGGGAAGCTCGCGAGTGTGTGTGTGTATACGTGTGTGTGTGTGTTTTGTGTAATTTTGCGTTTGTGTGTATTGTGTTTGTTTCCCCGGGGAAAACCCTCACGAGAAACACCGGCTGTTGTTATGCCTACTGTGACATTAGGTTACTACTCCGTTCTCCGCTTGTAATTATGCCGTTACAAGCTTCAAAGTTGTATTTATCATCTGAATTTGTCGAAACAAGTTTAATATTCTGAAAGCCAAGACCTTGTTTAATTTAAATCAGATGAAAACAAACTGTAACGGACCCTGCCGTGTTATTTATGATTACTCTACGCGTACATTCATAATGTCAGCCGGAGGGAGGGTGGCCGGCGCTGCGGAAGAGCAGATTGCGAATGAGAGGTGCCTGTCTTCGTCCCTTTACAAGCTTCAAACATGTATTTATCGTGTGATTTTGGAAATAAAAGTTCATATTCTGAAAGCCAAGACTTTGTTTATTTCAAATCAAACAAACACCCCGAATCCCCTTGTGTTTTTACGCAAATCCACGTTTATTTGAAATGAGCCGTTGCGACTTCCGACTGATTTCGATAGAGCGTGTCACATTTTTCGTCAGGTTTGACTTAATTTCAAGGGTGGGGTCTTAGGCCCCGTCCACATGGAGACGAAATCAGTTGAATCCGCTAACGTTCTCTATCGTATGGACGGTTGATCCACACGAGGCCGAAACGGAAACGCGGACTCAGAGCCAGAATCCGATACACTTTGATAACGGCTCCCAAAGTGGGTAGGTCTGAGGACGAAACGATTGCGGCTCCATGTGTACGCCCTATACGATCATTTCCTGAAAACAATGACGCCATAGCCCCGTCTCTCCCCAAACTCTCTGCTCACCCCCACGTCACCTGCGTCATTGCTGATGCATTTCGCCAACAACAACACAATGGCGATCACAGAGGCTGCGTTCGTGCTCCAGACGCTACTTGAAACTTGATACAGATTTTAGTGCAAAAATTCTACAGCTCCTCTACCACAACCCATCAGCAACAATTATAATATAATATAATAATAATAATAATTAAATAATATCGTCATCGGTCTGTATTCGCTGCTTTTGGTGTATTTTGTGAAGTACATCGCCACTTACAGGTCCGGCATATGTACTAACAGCGTCTGAGCGTTTTCGTGTGACCGGACGCGTTTCTTGAAGCCGTCTCTGTGTGGACGGGGCTAATGACATTTTTTCTTATTAAGCACAAACTAATTTCAGCTATAAAACTGAAATCAGTTTTTGCTCGGGTTCAAGAGGTTTGGTAAAGAAACATTTCCACTTTTAAAAAAAAAAAGAAAAAACACTGTCCAAACACAGTTTGGAAACAATAGAAAACAAAAAAGCCTGGCCCTGTCCAAAGTTCGACAAGACTGGGGATGAAACCGAGTACATGGTTGGCCCCTTGATGGTTTGTGTCCACATTTTACAGAATTACTAGGAATTCACTCCTGTCACTTTCTATGTAAACAAAAGCCTGTCCACATCTTATATGATTACAAGAGTTTCAAATAATTATCTCCATTGTACGATTTATTTTATAATAGTGGCAATGACAAACAAAAAGACAGAATTGTTTGAGAGTGATCAGGACTGGTGGAAGGATGCAGCCATAGGGTAACCATGAAAGGAGGCTATTAACCCTTCCTTCAAATGTGACAGCTCAGAGAGGTACACACTTAAGGCATGGTCGGACCACAAGATGTACAAACTAGCTGTTTGAATCTTCCAGAGGGCTAGTGTACTTTCCCAGTTTGGTGGTTAGAACAATCTAGTCTTAACTTGTGAGAAATGTAGTGCAACTTAAATGGTTTTACCTTCAACTACAAAGAGAAGAATGTGTAATCATACCTTGGGACCTCACACCAAATGGAGGCGGTAATCACCAATCTTGGTAGAATCGTTTGTAATTTTGGATCAATGAACATTGGCGCCAGTTTGTTGAACCTGTTGATATAAAACAAACGGGTAACAGCAAGTAAGAATGAAAGAACTTGTGTTCTTTAGAGCAATATCTGTGGTACACCCGTATGGTGATGTGTGTAGATGCACTGATTAATGGAAGAATGCTTAAGAGGATTTTACAGCATCGTGTTACCAGCTAATCCACAGTCTGTCTGATTTCACCTTCACCAAAACAAACTTAAAGACGTGTGAATGAAAGGACAGAGCTGCACATTCTGCACAGTGAGGCTCGGAGCAGATATCCAGTCTGACCTTTGGCCACGGAAGATCCACAAGTTTCCTTGACAAAAGGGTGGTAACTGGAAGGCAGGAAAGCATGATCCATCCTCTTCCCTTAAGATTTAGACTGGTGGTCAGAGGACTAAAACTGGCAGCCTTTTTTGTCACAAAAAGAAATAATAACCCACGTGGAGATAACATTGTTTTAAACCAACAAAGAAAATATAAACATGTGATTGATTTAGTTGTTACATGAGAATGATAACCTATTCTGCACTGCTCTTTATGGCACCAGATCGACTAAATCATTGATGAAAGACAAACAAAAGAGTTCCCTTTTGCTTTCACATAGTACCCCTGTTTGTATTTTGCTAGATCAAACAGGAAATTGCTGATATCTTTGTGTGTTGGGGATTCAATCTCCGTGTTGCGTAGCCAAACGAAGTTGATTCCAACTCGTCAGAAAACCACCGAAACCATCCTCGGTTAGATCTTTCCACTGTTGCAGCAATCACCGACTCTGGCTAGGTCGCAATAAACCCTTAAAGGTGGAGTAGGTAAGTTTCAGAAACCGGCTTGAGTGCACTAAAATTTGAAAGTACACAGCCGAAAAGAATCCGCCCCTTCCTTCAGACTTTCCTTACAGAGCACCTCCTCCAACACACATGAACGCGCAATGACGGCACGCCCAATGAGGGGCACGAGATACATTTGTGTGTGCACGAGATGGAAGGCTGACAGACAGGGCGGCAATCCAATCCGTTAGTAGCCGGGCCGGCTAAACGGATTGGCTGTACTTTTTACAGTATTACGGCTTCCACAGATGACATTTTTTTTATGGATTTTTTGTCAAAGCACTTCAGATATTCATTGCTATCCGGGATGTTAGAGAGCATTCCATGGAATATAACAAAAAGTGTATCTCGAGCCGGTCTCTGAAACTTACCTACCCCACCTTTAATTCAGCAAGTTCTATGTGAAATGATTCTGTTACTACCTGCTGGTTTTTCCCTACTGTTTCTCTCCCTGCCTGTGGAGCAACAGTGGCTCTGATGCACTCTTTGGAAACAGACCAATAAGGCAGCAAAAAAAGAAAAACATTGCCACAACAATAACAATATGGATTTTTGTCCTTTTTTCAACTTTGTTTCAAAACCTTTTCAGGATAGGTGTTGTTAGTTAGCATTGGGTTACAAACAATGCTCTTGTTGAACGGCATTGCAGGGACAATAGAAAAAGTGAACTCATGATGATGTGTCAATAATGGTGCAATAGTGTACAGTAGTGTTTTACCCACTTTTTCCCTGATGTTGCTACATTCTGAAGATATTTATGTAGAAATCGGCAGGAAGAGAGCAATTGATTTTGTTAGCATCCGGGCAGGACAGTCCTGTTGACTAAATACAAATAGTCAAGGATCCATTGAGTCAGGTTATGAAGGGTTTGGAGCTCTATACCGTAAAAAAAAAACATGAATGGGGAAAAGGTGGAATTAGAAAAATCATTTTTAGGGAATTTGACTTGTCTGTTGAAATTGTTGAAGTACAGAAGGTGTTGTATAGTGGATGTGGTCTGCCGATTGGGTCACTTGGATGTAGGTGCACCCATTAATTTAATCAGGGTGATTTGGTGGCTGCTGTTTTTGCTGAATGACACAGCTTTGATTAGCATCAGAATATTGTCCATTAGAAAATGATTTATACTTTTCAATTAAATTAAGATTTCTTTAAAGATTTAAGAATCACAGCTAAACTTTTTTGGTAGTTTGTCAGAAAAAAATGTATAGAAAAATGTAAATGAATCACTCTACATAATCCAACTGTCTGTGTTACCACCTAGTTTCCTTTATAATGAAGTTGTGCTTCACTTGCTTGTAAAACAAAAATAATACAGTGAAGGGTATTTTTTATTGCCTCAGCATGTTATGCTTCATTTAATCTCCACATCTGTCCTCCATTTTGAGGGATTAGGCTGTTAGAGAGCCAATGTATATTTAACATTTAAGACATTTTAAAAAGTCCTCCCATTTGGGAAAAACAAATTAATCTGAAAAGAAATAATCAGAAGAAAAACAAAATCATTATCAAAAACAACTGCTATTTTTTTACTTCGAAATGTTTAACTGAGTCCATTTTGAAAAACCAATGCCTACAAAAAGTACACAAACATTAGCTGTGAAAGAGGTAAAACAAAGAAGACAAATGTTCTTTAAACCGAGTCAACCCCTCCAGGTTTTGGCAGCTTGTTTCTTTATGTGAAATATCACATAAGGAACTGCAAATGAGCTCTGATTTGGTAACACAAAACAGCTGCTAATCAGTCAATGTTGGAAGGTCTTTGAAATAATTGATAGACACCTGAACACACTTAGTTAAGAAATCAGCAACTAATGATGCATTCTACCCTTCTGTCCTCAAACTAACGCCACATTTCTATTGAATTGTACTGGCTGTAATTGCCCTCGTATGACAGAGTTCCTCTTTTTTCTTTGCGATTGTCAGCTGTAGGGACGGCACATGAGTCTTTCTACCGTGAATGGAGACATCTTTTCATCGAAGGATTGTGAACTTCAGCACTTTATTGTAAGGGGTTTGCTGGCTGTCAGTTGTTTTAAATTGGGTTTAAAGATCTGTTTTTTTATTTTTTTATTGAAGTGGATATTGTGGATGGCTGCATCTCTATGTATGTTCAAGTGTTAATTTTTCTAGAGTCCTTTGGTTTTAAACTTGTTATTAAATGCTATGAAAAGGGGTGAGTTGTCATAATTGAAAGCTGTGATTGACGGCTGTGAGTGAAGGATTTGTAGACTCTTTAACTCTCCATAACTGTTACAATTCTGTGTAATAAAAACTGTTACATTTGATAATAAGGAATATATAGAGATTGTTTTTTAGATATTGTGTCGTTTGGCAGCAGTGGCTCGTCTGTGGAGACTTAACTTGGGAATCAAAGGCTCTGGTACCAGGAGAGGCTGCTGTTTGCTTCCTGACCACCCTCACAACTGCTCTACATATGCTGTTTGGATGCTTATTTCTATGTGGATTTCATTAATTATAACTTCGGAAATTGGTAACTGGGGATAATCTGATGTTTGCATCGCTTATCCTCAATACTTATTTGTAGTAGCTTTTGCAACACTGTAAATGTCACTTGCTGCGGGACAAATTAAGGATTTATGCTTCCGATACACCAATGAACTGACTTATTACATATCCCCTCTGGATTATCACAGTCGCTTTTCAGTCACCATGTTGTCTGTGCATATGAGAAGCCCAAAGACTGGTGCCCTCTCATTTATGACTTATAGTTCAAAACCTGCAGTCTCATAGATCTGACGTTGAACATTGAGCTTACAGTAGGAATGATTGATTCTCCGGCGCTGCTGAATAAAGTGGTTGTTTAACTCTACTAGATGTTGACATGTTTAGGGGCATATTTTGTTTTCATGATAGTCCTCACAACTGTGCAAGATGCAGTCTAGAAACCCAAACGGGTAATAATAAGGAAGAAGCCGAGTTAATTTTAGCAGCAGCAGAGTGAACGCAGGGGGTCAAGGATGCCCGGGGGCATTTTACCATTCCTTCCTGCCGATCAAATCCTCCTGTGTTATTTTAACATGCTACAGCTCCGACTGTGTGAAGACACTTCATCAATTGATGCTGTCTGAAGGACCTGGTGGATTCCAGGGTTGCGTGTCTCTGGTGCTCGGAAAGTAAGTGGATAAGTGAACCGGCCGGAGGGTTTCTCACGCACTGGGACACCAGGGGAGCAGAAGAGGACAAAAATAGATCTGCACCACACATGGGCCCATGTTAGACCACTGATCTCTGACTTTTTTTATACATAGTGCAGAAAACATAAGCAGATGAGGGGCTTTCACGGTGTGGAGACTCTTTGGTTTTTAATAATGCAGAGGTAAGAAATGGGATCTTTCCCTCTTTCATACCACTCTGAGCTGAGAGAGCTTACCATTAGGGAAGGTAAGCAACTTCCAACGAAAAGAGCCCTATAAAACCTATTGATTTACGAGTAGAAAACATACAATATTATCTTAATATTAACAACAAAGAGTCAAACTTAGTTATAACTGTTGGCATCCTACAGAAAAAAATTAGAGGAAGAGTAATACATTATCTGTAAAACCCCTCAGGTAATCAGTTTGTTATTGGACTCCCTTAGTTACTTGCAGTTTCCTGTGGCATCGACTCACTGCTTAGATGATCAGCCCTTTCCCAAATACCAGAGCAAACCATTGTATTTGTAGTTCTACGTCATGTAGCCAGCTTGTTACTCCATTGATTCAGATTACACACAATCCAATGATCAACTAACAACCGGATCTTTACAGCTTATGTCTTCCCACAAAATTGGAATATATCATACATTCTATATTAATGATATGTCAAGCATCAAATCTTCCACTGCAAGTATTCCTTTGGATAAATGCATTCTTATTCCTATATTGAAAACACAAGGCCCCTGGTGGGGTTAGAACCCTGGACTTTCTTTATATAAAAGGTAACAGTGTTTATTCTGAGCTTCACAAATTGTGTGTGACACAAGTGATCACAAACAGAGTACTATGACTGTCATCGAACCAGCAAACTGCTGGCTTAGAGTCTCTTGGCCACCCTTTGGACAATTGGTCAGGTCATCTGTGACTTCTAAACTGCCACTTGCTGCTGCAGTCAGTATTCTACACAAATAGAAACTTTCTCTAGATTTGTTTTCTGGTCTGACTCACCAGAGTGAGGGGCTTACTCTGGTGAGTCAGATAATAAACTGCTGTGTCACTGTTGTTGCACACCTGAATGCTAGATTGTAATGGGTAACGGCAGTCGTATATTGATATGAAAATAATGGCCTTCGCATTGACATGATTTGCAAAAAGATATATATATATAAAAACTCAGATTGTGCATTTATTGAAATATAAATTGTAGCTTAGAACATCATCGCAGTAATAACCCCAAACCAGTGTCGAGCTGTATCCATGTCTTACACTGCTTATATCATGCATTTGCAGGGATATTTATAGACTAAATAAGTAACCATGGCAAAACACTGTATTATATAGAATGGACCCTACTTTTGGCAGCTCTGCTCTAAAAGAACCCAAGATGGACCGGGATTGCATGAGTTTATAATGCCAACACCAGGGTGACAACATATCTAACAATTATAATTGATGTGTAAAATGCTCGGTCACTTTCATACATTGTTAGTGTTCTTACCTTGGATAGATGGCTGTCATCTTAGCAGCTGCATAGCCAGGCTTACAGGCTCCCTCACTGAGATTGCCGTACTTGTACATCAGCTCTAACGGCCTAAAGACATGGAGGAATAAAGTAAGGAAAATAATTAAAACTCACACAAATTATACACACAGAACAAGTGCAATGATTTGGGAAGGGAAGCGTGTATTAATAGTAAAATGTATACTCACAGACTGCCATCCAGCTTCAGAAGGAACCCTTGTTTGTCATACACTAGACAAAGAATTAGGGTTAACAGGATGGAATTCAATAAAATGCAAAAACATGTAGAAAATCATAGTTATTTGTATGACATTGACATATTTAATTTGTTAAAAGGAAACCCTGACAAAATGTAACACTAACTACTACATACAGTATTGTTATTTCGATACATGTGGGTTACAATATTTACAGCTCTCAGCAGTGACAAGACAAAGGTACTGAAACATGGAAAGTGTATAGAATAGATCTTGTATTTCACCCTTTATTTTGCCTGTTTTTAGAGGCTTTATTTGTCCAAATCATGTACACAAATGATTGAGACCAGCTCTTAACAGATAGTAGATAGATATCCAGATGACACAGTATCGCCCTCTGCTGTTCTTTATTTTCTTTAAAGATTTGCAAGGTGTTGTAAACATTGGTGACTGAAAATCTGACCTCCAATTCTAATGCCTATCATCGAGACACCATGATCATTGATTGATGCTTCACTCTTTTTCACTTGTTTAGTTTCCATAAATTAGGTATTTTGAAACTCTTTTACAACCGTTTCAGTTGTGAAGTCAGAACCAGAAAATGATCACAATAGCCAAAAGATTGGCCTTATCTAAAACATGTTCATATGCATGTGGTATTCAAAAAGTTTGAGAAAGTTTCATTTGGTGCTAATGTGTATAATGCTATGATCATTGAAAAAAAGGATGAATAACATACACAAATATATTAGCATAACTTTGGCTTAGGCTGTCTTTTATTGTGGTTGTAAATCAAGATTTAGCTCCAAGTTTACTAATGAAAACTTCATACAATTCATTCCCTTTCTGCAAATATATCCAACAGACTGGTCCTTTAAGTAACATCACCCAGTCCTTGTCACGGCCAGCGATGTACCTCTAATTACTTGCTTTAGATTTGTTATGTTTTCCCTTCCACTTTTCTCCTGTATTCTCCTGTCTGTTTCTCTGGGGGTGCATCCCAAGTCTCTGAGATTCCCTCACTTGCATAGATTCCTTAAGGCTTAGTCCCTCCCAGCGGGATGCATGGAAAATAAACTGGGAAATAATACGAGGAGAGAGGAAATAAGTAAATGTGCTCTTCGAGAAATGAGACGTCCTGTCCTCTGCAACGTCACACGAAGCAACGTCCATTCGTTCTGCATTAAGCGACTGCTGGAGTGCTTCTGTTGCACAGATATTTCATATTTGAAAGAGTAATTCACTGCCTGACTGTCACAACAGTAATGTCCTTTGATGCAGATTTCTCCATAAAATGTGTTATTTTTTCCAATCATAGCTTAACCATGTCACATGATGTATGTTTTTTTTTAATAGGTTTGTGAATCTCACACATGGCTTCTTCTTACAAATGAACATTTATCCCACTTCATTTGAAATACCTAAATTAGTTTAATGTTTGGACATTCAGCAATGAAAATACAGAGATATGAAGTCCTAGGAAGACTCACATGAATTGTGGCCCAGCCTTTCATACTGATCCTCCCAGACGAGTAGTAGAGGAATCCCAGGGCCATCATGGGAGCACAGGCCCAGGAAGAGGTTGCGGGTGGGTTTCATTCTCATCTCCACCTAGCATACATGGTCCATCCCACACTGGTGGCTGTATGGAGAGGAAATACAACTGGTTAGTTCAGGTCTCACACACAGCCTATTATTATTTAAAACAATTGACCACAGACACTGAGACAACCATACATAACTCTGGAAAATGTAAGAGACCAGTGCTAAAATGTCAGTTTCTTAGTTTTTTTACAATGTATAGGTATGTAGTTGAGTAAAGTGATTTTTGTTTTCAACGAGATATAAGATTATATTTGCAGAAAAAAACAGGTGGTCAAATAACGACAAATAGGTAGTGGTTTCAGACTTTAAACAATGCAAAGAAAACAAGTTTATATTAATTTCTGAACACCACAATACAAATTAGCATTTAACTTCGGAATAGTTAGAAGCAATATTGATGGATTTCAATACAATTATAATGTTGTAGTAGTCTGTATTTCTCCGGAGCTGTATGTTTTCATTTTGTCTACCATGACAATTAAATATATTTGTTTTCAATGACATGAAACAGCATTCAAACATTTTGGTAAAATTGTATTCCATCTATTTCAGACATTAAAACTGTGGGCCTCAATATTTAACCCCTAAACCTAACCAAGATAATTAATGTAATTTTTTATGATACACTACCTTAAGGACAGTTTTTTTGGACGTGACCATTTTCATGGGAGGGCAGAGTGCATTTGTTGTGATGTGTTATATTGAAAAAATATACACACTGACACACACGGCTTAAAGGGGGCATTTAGTCGGTAAGGGGTATGATTGTAACCACTAACGTGAGGTCAGTTAATTGCATTTACACTGAACAATTAACAATGTATAAACTGTGAAAAATAATGACGGGGACTACAGAAGGATGCATGTTATTGTAGCTAACAGCTAACATAGCTCATGCTGTACAATAATGATAGCATGTTAGCTTCAGTAAAGACCAGCTCTACTTCCGCTGGCAGATGGTAACAGATGTAAAACGCGCTGACATGAATATAACGGGAGGAATATCCTTAACATTGAATGAATGTAACAGAAATATAAAACCAATAGGTATGACTGACTTAGCTTGCTACGTTAGCAGGCAAGCCATTCAGTGACTCCTGCCGAGCAGATAACGTTACCGTTATGTTTTCAAGTTGACCTCAAATCCGTCGGTTGCTTCCTACCCGCCGTCTGTGGCACCAAGCTGCCCATATGCATAGGTCAGCATTAACGGTGTGTGAAAACATTCGAATACTCATTACACGTCTTGCATTTTACCAACACACTTGAGGGGCAGAATGTGTGTCCCAGTCCCCTCAGTGTAAGCTCCATGCACGGTGCTCAGCGGGGCTACCCAATTGGTCCAACCTCTGTACGGAGACAACTGCACGCCAAACTTCAAACTAAAATCTGCTATTTAAAGGTGGGGTATGTAAATTGAAACCGGCTCGAGATACACTTTTGTTATATTCCATGGAATGCTCTTAACATCCCGATAGCAATAAATATCTTAAGTGCTTTGACAAAAATCCATGAATACATTTCATCTGTGGAAGCCGTATTACTGTAAAAAGCACGACCAATCATTGTAGCCGGCCCAGCTAAAATAACTGGATGGCCTACCTGCCTGTCAGCCTTTCTGTGCACAAATTTATCTCGTGCCTCATTGGTCATGTGCGCGTTCGTGTGTGTAGCATGCATTGACTGTATATATAAATTGACGTTGTGTCCGTGACGTCACCCATAGGATTTTGAAGAGTTGCCGAGAAGCCCTTAGTAGGCGGAGTCGGCTACTAACGGCTCGACTGTGACGTCAGAGTCTAATCCCGCCTGCTCCAAATAACCGCAAAGAGGCGGAGCCGAGGCGGGACCTGCTGCCTCCGAACTGGAAGTAAACAGAGCTAGCTCAGGCAGTGTTTGCCAACTTGGCGATTTTCTCGTTAAATTTGGCGGATTTTCCAAACCCTCCGGCGACTTATTTGTGTCAAAAGCGACTAACGGACTAATCTAGCGATTTTAATGGTGTTATTAGCGACTTTTCTGGTGTTTGGAGACTCACATTGTTCTGCAGTTAACGAGCCGCGGATGCTGCCGTGAGCCCCGCCTCCCTCCCATAGTACTCACAGGCGCTCAGACAGTTGCCTGGATGGCGTTATATTTGTGCTTCTATCCTGAGCGCGGCACTTGAACAGTTTTGAGCACAGAGAAATATATTTTCTCTCGTAAAACTCCTGCTGCGTGCGCAAGCAGACCGCTGCACGCGCTCTCTTCTCCCCCGCTCGCTCGACCTCTCCAGCCTGCGCGCGCTCAGCTTTGCCTGCGCTCGCTCAAGTTGTCACAGCGTTACAAATGTGCCACAAAACCAACCAATCGGAGAACTCGAGAAGGTCAATTCTGATTGGCTGGTCCAGCGCCATGTAGAGAGAAGAGTTGCGACAGCGGAAGTCCAAAATGCTTGATCGTCACGTGGTTCAGAGAGACTCAGAAAGTTCCCGGAAGTTCGTGGCGGGCCATTGAATCACGATTTGAATGCATTAATAACAGGATATAAATGCAATTTTTGGTAATTAGTGGTCAATAAAGGTTTTGATTTGCAATATTTATACAACATATCGATATGTGTGTAGTTACATCAATGTGTTTTTTTTTATTTAAATGTGCTAATATTTGAGGATTAAGATAAAATAAGAAGTAGCCTACTTTATTGATACCAATTGGGGAAATGTTTACGCTGCAGCAGCAAAAGACAAGGAGGCATTGTACATTAGACAGTTAAAAGACTATAATTAAACAATCGAAAATGTAAACATCTTAAATAGAAATAACATAGCATTACAACGTAGAAAATATACAGTGTGAACAGCTATCTTACCTGTTAACATACATATTAGGCTAACGTTGCCTTGGTTAAAGAGCCTGTTGTTTATTGCTTTGAATTCTTTAAAACAAATATTATCTTCTTAAAACTTGTATGGTAGTCAGGAGCATCACATCCTAATGTTTATTGATATATTTAGAGGGAGGGAAGGAAGGTTTAAAAATTCTGATTAGATACATTTCTACAATTCATGGTGGTTTCAGTAATCCCCTGGTAATAGAGGACCTAAGTAATCTAAAGTACTAATGTAATCTTTATGACTTTCAGAAAGGACAGGAGACCGGCAGAAGCCTATCAAAGGACTACCAGCAGCAGCATGATGATGATGATACATGTGTTGTTTTAGGAACATCCATGTAAATAAATGGAATTCAATAAACATTGAATAGCATATCATGCAGTTTGTCTGTGCCTTTTCCTCTGTGTTGTCCTGGCATATCGTCTCCCCCATGGTTTTCTGTGCTGCCGGGGGATGCTCCAAGCGCTCAGAGAAAGGAGTATGAATGTAAGGTTTCCCCACTGACACAGAGAGGAGGAAAGAATGGCTGGCTCAAGTCAGCAGGAGCAATTTAACTATCACAAAAGACAACAACAGCAACAACATATGTGAGGTAATCATATTTTTCACAAAACGAAGACCACACCATTGGGAAGCTTAACGTCTGTTTAATAAAAATAAGGAACAGGGAGAGGCTTGCAAAGCTCTGGGAGGTGAGACTCAGGTGCAGGGTGAGGGTCTCATTGCAGGTCTTCAGGCTCCATTGAATCCCCGTGGGGTTCTTGTGCTGAAAGAGGGAGACAAAGACAGGATAAAGGGTTATATACATCTAGCAACCTATAGGATGGGAAATTGCTGACCTATTTTAAACTTACCTTGTGTTTTCGCTCTCACTTAAGTCCCTCTCCCTTTGCCATCAATCCAACATCAGCTGAGCTGCAATATAATACAGACAGGTAATAATCAACAGAATCACAAGGACATAATATGGCTCTTCTAAAAACACTCACCCATAAGTTACGTTTTTGTTTACTGTTTGGAAGTCTCAAATATCCACTCTAAATCCATATCAATGGCGATGTATCACACAAATAGCTCTCTTCCTTATTATTGTATAACGTTAACTATATTATACTAGCTGGAACTCCAAAATGGATATCCTCATTTCTCCACCCACTACAATCACACGCCCCAATGTTATATTTAACTAATATGTAACTCCCTCCACCCCGGATAAAGCACGTTAAGAAGCCCCCTTTTCTCTAATTCCACAACGTTGGAAGAAATAACATTAAGAGAACGGATTAATAGGCTGTTCATGGTTAACGTGTGTTGCTAACTTTATCCGGTATCCTAGGCCTCATCTGTCCGGTTGAAAATTAACGCAAGCATATGCCCATTGTAAACAGGAAACAGAAGTTGGTCCAGGTTCTGGTCAACCCAACATTGTGATAGAGAGAGAAACATGTTTTGTCATTCTGCCACCTCTAATGCTTACGGCAAGTAATCAATACCTCAGAAGGGTTCATGTAGCTACATGTATGCTACGGGTTGTTAGCGGTTTGCTTAAACTACCCCTATAGCTATGTTGCCGGCTAGCAAACTCAGGCATTGCAAACAATAACATGATATCAGAAAACTAGAAAGGTATAACTCACCTGACACTGTGTCGTGCTATTCTCTTCATTCGAGTCTGTCATGTCCTGTAAATGTCAACGATAGATGTGTAATAAGAACGTCAACAGCCTGATGGCAACCGAAAATCCCTCTCTCATCTCAGATAGAAGATATGATTGGAGACGACCAGCCAATCAGAATTGACCTTCTCGAGTTCTCCAATTGGTTGGTTTTGTGGCACATTTGTAACGCTGTGACAACTTGAGCGAGCGCAGGCAAAGCTGAGCGCGCGCAGGCAAAGCTGAGCGCGCGCAGGTTGGAGAGGTCGAGCGAGCGGGGGAGAGAAAGCGCGTGCAGCGGTCTGCTTGCGCACGGAGCAGGAGTTTTACGAGAGAAAATATATTTCTCTGTGCTCAAAACTGTTCAAGTGCGCGCTCAGGATAGAGGCACAAATATAACGCCATAGCCTGGCCGCAGCAGAGCTGCTGCTGCAGTCAGAGCAGAGAGGAGACAACCACACTCCCCCCG